AACTCCCTCTTCCTCCTTTAAGGTTCGACGGTAAAGCATACACACACACTGACACAAAGACACACACACACTGACACAAAGACACACACACACACACACACACACACACACACACACACACACACACACCTCAGGCCTCTCCTTTATCTTCAAACTCTTTTTTTCCAAACAGAATCTTCCTTTGGAAAGCCATTGGTTATTCCCCAATGGGAAAACACAGACACACAGATATCAAATTAAGAAGAACATGTGGTTGGAGGTTGGCATTAATCTAATTTCCTTGTTTTAACTTGTGACAGTTAACACAATTTAAATTATTTAATTTTTAGACTATCTGATATCTCAGATGAAAGTAAACAGAGGTTTTTATTCACAGAAATACAGAAAATATTAAATATGTATCCAGGCCAGTGTCAAATGCTGGGTAAATGTTCGCTATGCAGGTAAAGATGGCAGATGACTTACCCCAAATTAAAAAGAATAAGGCATATCATTTTTTTTTTTAAAGGTAAGTCCTTAAATAGTGAGGGAGAAGGTTACATGATATTTTCCATATTTCTTGTATATTCATGTCTGGTATTGCTGTTTTCAGTATTTACCTCTGACCATTTTAGCACAGAATTTGTTGTTTCACTTTTTATGTCTCTTACTGTGTTATGTATGCACCATTTTACCCCAAAGCTAATTCCTTTCATGTGAACATTCTGGCAGGTGAGGAATGACTTCATTTATACCTGAAGCTACAGACGGAAACAGCTGAGAAGAGAAGATTAAAGATATCAATGTCACCTGGATGTCAGGGTAATTTATGCCAAACACCAAGACAACAACAGGTTGGCAGCATCTGCAAATAGTGTGCGTTGTTACATCCATAGATCACAAACTGTCAGGAAGACAAACACAGCTGAGGAAGGTTTTTAAAGATAAGGTGTTATTGTCTTTTTTTAAATTATAAACAAAACCCCTCACGAAGAGACCTTAACAATGAAATCGTTCTGATAACAGAACAATAGAAGCGTAGTTTTTTTAGCCAAAGCCGAAAGCTTGTTTATGATGTAAAACTCCACATAAGGATAATTTGACCAGTCACATTTGATGAATTCCTTCAGTGATTTATTGCTCTCACAAATTGCTCCCTGTTTTTCAGCAGTGTATTGCTTTACTTTCTCTGACTGGTATAACCTGTCTTTGTTAGCTGCAGTGCACCGGAGCAGCCAGACAGTCTGTGCTTTGTTCAAAGGTACATTAAAAGCTTTTAAACAATTCAGCGTTACTAATCTCACGTGGGAGAATTCAGTTATCGATTTAGGTCACAGTCATTGAGAACCAGACAAAAACATTCCCATTATGGTCATGATAGCATCTGAGGTTAACCGTTAGACCTATATACATGTAAACTGACAGAGTCAAGGTGAGGTGTCATAGTAAAGTCTTGTTGGTGTGGGACCGAATACTGAAAATAAGTCTAAAAAATGACTTTAACACAAAATTATCATAGCAGATTAACAAATAAAAAAATGAACATGAACTAGTTCTTCTTTGGAGACAGTGAAACACTTACAATTCATTTTTCTAAATAGTGAAACATTATCATGAACTATTTAACTTTCATCTTTGTGAACTGAACTTCACACCAGCTCCTGTCAAGTGTGAACTTACATTTTAATGGTCTTAATGTATTATTAGCCTACAAAGTGAGAAACCATCTGGAAAAATGTCATAAGACAAATGCAGAACCATAACACAGCAAGTCACTTTTAGTCACAGATACAATGAATGTATTACAACTGTTTGATTGTTTCTGTTTTTTTTTAAACAATACATTCAATTATAAGAAATACAAAATAATTGAGAGAAACACAAGAGATCTTTGCACGTTTCTTGTGTGGAGGAGAACAAGTCGTAACATGTCCAGTCACACGACGAGAGAGAGAGGAGGAGGAGACAAGGAGGAGGAGGAGACAAGGAGGAGGAGGAGACAAGGAGAGAGTGAAGAAATGTGAACTTAAAGATAAGACTTAAATGACAGGAGGTAATCCCTGAGAGAGAGGGGAGTTAGAGAACTTTCAAACGTGAAAGTGATAAAGATACAGTATGTTCGAAGAGTGGGATAGTGGTTGGATAGGGGCAGTACACAGTATGTTTGTATTGCAGAGGAGTCACATTGTAATCTATCAATCATTCATACCCAAACCAACTGACAAGGAACGCCAAAGTTATAACGTATATTAATAATTTGCTTAAACAATAGTTTTCTTGCAAGTAATAGTTTTGCGTTTCTTGGGGAAAACAGCAGGGGAGTGTTAAATGAGGCATTTTCAAAAAGAGCATGAAGTACAGTGCAGATCTCGGGTGGTGAGTTGAATATCTCTGAATAGTCCTTTAAATTAAATATGGTGGTTTAGATAACAGGGATTTATTCATATTATGCCTAATTTCAGTGGGTCAACATCGTTAAACTTTTTTATGTATGTACGTTTTTAAGCAACAGCGAAGACCAAATTGTGTCCACCAAAAAACCAGGTTGCCCCTTTTTTTTGGCCAAGCTGTTATCCTGAAATGCTTTTTGATTACTAGAAGAAGTGAATGAGAGAGTGTAAAACTTAAAAAAATAAAAATATGTATCAAACATTGTTAATCACCGCAACCATGAGAGGTCCTTGACCATACTGTCTTAAAAGTGCACTACACATATTGGGTAGATGGGTCTGGTATATGAGATTAGACTGAACGATTCACACACTTTGCATCTCTGTTAAACACACATTATTAAAGAATAGAAGAAAAAAGCATCAGAATAGAAGTTGATTTCAAATGTTTGGTGGGTAGTGTGTGACAATTAAATTGGTTTAGATGAGATAAAAGCAGTTGTTGAGGATTTTCTTGCAGATAAAACCCTGTTAGGACGTGCTCAGCCTGAATCCATCACTGCCATGAATGAAGCTTTTATGTTGGACATGTGAAGTTTGAAACAAATTATCAGTGTGTCTGGATACTAAACACCTGCTGAAAGTATATGGCAGGAAGATTAATACAAGATTACCTCGGGGGAAACCCTTTTGTGAAGTGAAGTCTGTGGTAACAGACACTATAATGGCACGCCAAAAGGAAGAGTCCTATCGTGTTTTGATTAATTGCATGTTGGAGGAAATGAAGAGAGGACTTGGGCGGTCTGATAAAAGACTATCCCGACTGTTAGAGACCCACTTTATGTGGTATCCCCTCCACACTATCATTTTGTATGAATAATGTTTTGAAAAGGACATATAATAAGTGAGATTTATGAGAAGTGAGAACATAACTGTAAGGTAGATTTTTACATTACATTACATTACATTACATTTAGCTGACGCTTTTATCCAAAGCGACTTACAATAAGTACATTCGACCAGGAAGACACAACCTTGAAGAAAACAGAATCATATAAGTACATCAGGTTTCATAGAGCCAAACATTTCAAGTGCTACTCAACTGGCTTTAGATAAGCCAGTCCTTTATTAGTATAAAAGTGCTTCGTTAATAGTTCTAACGCTCGAAGTGGAGTCGAAAGAGATGAGTTTTCAGTTTGCGCCGGAAGATGTGCAAGCTATCTGCCGTCCTGATGTCAATGGGGAGCTCATTCCACCATCTTGGAGCCAGGACAGCAAACCCACGTGTTTTCGCCGATGGGAACTTGGGTCCCCCTCCATTTGGTGGCTTCACTTGTTTTGCAATGTTTTGACTGGTGTTTCTATTATTATGAAAGGAGATTCAATAACAGAAAGACTTTATGACTTGATGACGATACGTATTATTGAAGGGCTGCTTGCGTTTTATGGTTACTAATAAACTGACACTGTGCATAACAACCAATTTTCCACATAAATTCACTTCCCCCCCAGAGGGAGTTTCTCTCCCACACACTCCCCCTCTGCATGAAACGTCTCCATTGGACTCCTTTGTTGTTACTTCTGTAACATAGTGACATCATTACGTTGACATCACTGCGGGACATCTATAAGCGGTTGACCAATCACAACAGAGCCAGCCAGCTAACCAATCAGAGCAGAGTGGGCTCTGGTTTCAGACAGAGGGTGAAAAGAGGTGCTGCAGCACAGGCAGTATGAGAACAATAAAAAGCTTTTTAAACATTATAGCATGAAACATGTCACATAGAGGCACACAATACAAACATGAACCTGAACATGAGCATAATGTCATCTTTAAATAAAAAATATATGTTGATGTGATAATATCAGGCTATTTTGATATTTTTGCAATACCTCTAGTGGGATAAATGCACACAGAGAGGATGGTTGGATCAGCATCACAAAGCTACTTCTTTTGTATGACACTTCCTGACATGCAGCACACATCAAAGCTCAGGATAGAAAGGTGTGAGGTTTAGGAGATGTACTGTTCAAGATAAGCAGAGTCAATGACTTTTTAATTAATCAATCACTCACTAAGCCAATTACTGTATAAATCATAATTGATAAAAGTGTGGAGGAATAACGGCAACAAGTAGACACACGTCAACCAATTACTGTGACATCTGCCTCCAGGTCAGAAGTCAGTGTGTGGTAGTTTTTGCCATCAAGCCTTTCAGCACCACTTCATTTCAGTGGTGGGATGGGACCAAGTTTGTTTATTTTTGATAATGACATAATTAATAATTATTTACATCACAGTTCTTTCTAACTGCACTCCATCTTTAATGGAATTAACATTCAGTTCAATTTATTTGAACAGAACAAGAATAAACAACAGCAGGATTCAACTTGATCAAACAGGTGGGGTAAGCTAAGGTTGGATTAAGTTTGTCTTTTCATTTTAAAGGTTTTCTGTTGGATAGAGATGCAAAACATTTCCCCACAGGGCTCGCTCAACTTCCAGGAGAAAGAATCGATGGACGTCAGACTTCCTTCTCAGAAAATTAAAAAAGGACTCCTGCTAACTGCAAGAAAAGAAAGCCAATAGGAGTTTTCCACATAATTCAAAGTTGAAGGAACACCTCAAAATGTGTGTTTTCATTTTTTTATTTTAAGAATATTTCAGTACAAATGTTTGGCAGTAAATCAATTGTATTTTTATGTTTAGATTCAGTCATTTTGCCACACAAAGACACAGAACATGACGTGGTACATTCCACACTCACTGCCCTGCAGCTACGTACACGTACACACACACACACACACACACACACACACACACACACACACACACACACACACACACACACACACACACACACACACACACACACACACACCACACACACCACACACACACACACACACACACACACACACACACACACACACACACACACACACACACACACACACACTCAGCTGAAACACTCCATGCTGGCCTTGGCTCTCTCCATCTCGTGTAGGAAGTTGTAAAACTGTGGGAGTGTCAACTCTGGAAGACATGAGGGCGGAAAACAGGAAAATGTTAGAAGATAAGACTAGAGTACTACTCTGTAACACCAGAGATGAATAAATAAAATGACATGTTGACTCCCTTTAACACTTAATAAAAAAAGATACGTTTTAAAATATCTTATATTTAGTTTCTTGACAGCTTGGTCTATTATCACAATTGAGGGAAAAAAGTGCTGGGAATACGCAGGAGTGCTGAGGAGTCATGGTGAAATCCATCTGTTTTGAGAAGTGGGATATTGGAGCTAGGAATGACGTCCAAATGATACCAATTGATAATAACAAAATGAAAAGTTGTGTTATGATTTGGACATCTTCAGTGAATAACAAATAAAACAACTAGTAGAAACTTGACAGCTCTAGTTTATAACGTGACGCATCATAGACTTCAAGTTATAAACATCAACTACTAGCAGTAATCACACCAAACTGACAAAGTTAGCTCCTGCAGGTGAGAAAGGTTTTGGTGTGTCAGAAAACAATCTAGCATTTATGATATTCCTGCTGTTTGACTACCAGTGTTAAGAACACTTAAGACCCCTCACTTTGGACATTAGTAGCATGTATGAACCATATCAGCATGCCAGATGTCTTATGTAGGTGTTAACAGTCTTGGGGTGTGTTAAAAGACAAGTTGACTGGTTCAAAAACTGGATTTCAATAGTATTACTTTTCAGCTGCAGAGAATCATGAAAATACTTTGCACACCTGTTTGTGATTTATCATTTTCTGACTTTTATTGGTCATCAAACAGATCCTCAAACCATTGATCACTGGGTTTCAAAACGGCAGTTTAGCTAGAGGGGGATTACTGGGGATAATGAACATTTATTATGCACTACTTTTTGGAATTGTCCAGTTGAAGGCACAAAAACAATTCCACATTTCTCACGCGCTCACAGTCAAGCCAGTTTTTCCTTTCTCTTCAATTTGTATGTAGCGTAATGTTGCTATTGGTAAAGAAAAATACATTTGTAGAACTTTTCCCGTCTCCATCTCAGTGGATTGAGCTGCATTTTCCCTCCACTGCTTCTGCAAACTGTACATTGGTGTTGCCTATAAATACCTTTCTGTCTCTCTGTCAAGCAACACATCAGCACATGTTGACATTTGAGTCGGATTTACTTCTGGATTTGAATAACTTTGGGATCACTTGATATCTCAGTATACAATTACTAACTAGTCACATATACTCAAAGACTTGCAGTCCATGAATTTTCTGTATTTCTTAATAAAATATTGATTTAAGTGTTTTGATTTATCAGGCCTCAGATTTTGTGGTATGCAAAATACAATCGATTAAGTCAGAGCTGTTTGTGTCAGTATCGCTCACCCATGTAAACGTTTTCAGTGGAATTCCCCTTTCTGACCACCAGCTTCAACTGCAAGAGGAAAAAACGGTGTTCAACAAACAGGTCCCGAACTGTGTGTGTGTTTTATGTGTTGTGTGTGTTCTGTACAGGGTTTTTATACCTGAAGAAAGATGTTGCCCACTTTTTGTACTTCACTGGTGCCGACAGTCACTGTGGGATTCAGAAAAAACACATCATGATACATAGATGTATACAAAATAAACAATTAAATCTGATATATGACTTTAAAAGAGGGTACAAATAATCATATATTGATCGTTCTCACTGTTTGAAAGTGTGTTTCAAATACAACAATCCTCCATGGATTTTGATGATGGCTGTATTGAGTGACCAGAACCAAATGTGCAAAACCTCAAAATAAATTGCACTTGTTTTCTTCCTCACTATAAATGTTCGGTATTGTATGGCAGTGATTCCCATAGGGGTGAAACATTTCCAGATGTATTCATAAGAATTCAAATGCTAAAAAAAAACGTGTTATTCAAATAATAATATTCATTTTTCCCCTTAAATTATTTTCTAATCTTACACATTCTATTTGATCTTTTGTATGAATGTCCTGTCTGTCTGTAACTTTGGTTCGTATTGTTGTTGTTTCTTGAAAACGTCGCTCTTAAGATTAAGACTCTGGGCTCATTGAGCTTTACTGCATAAAGAATATGTTAAATAAAACAAAGATATAATGTAGTATACTATGTGTGCACTTAGAGTGAATCAAGCACGCTAGATATGTGTGTGTCTGTTCTGAAGTGAGTTTCAAATGATGCTTTTTTACTTGATTTGCCTCTGATATTTTGTTTAGGTACACTGTTACTTGCAGTTTATTGGGTTGACGTAAATTACATTGTTCTCAAGGTTCAAGGTTCTTTATTTGTCATACGAACATAGCTACAGAGTAGTTATGGCGATGACAATCTTAGGTCACAGGCTTCTCCAACAGTGCAACACAATAATACAGATAAACAGACAAATATAGTGCAAGTAAATATTAAAAAGTAAATACAAAAATAAAAATAGTTTAAAATCTATCTATGGGTAATCTCAGTTTAAATGCTACAATAATAAATCAAAATACTCCTAGGAACATACATATGAGGGTCCCAGTTATATTCTCCATTTTGAAATGTGTCCATGGCAGAAAAACAAATGAAACCTCTAACACTGTTGACTTGAATAGCAACATGTGAAATAAACGGTGGATATATTGTTCCCCAGGCGAGTGAGTCTCAGACATGCAGAGACAGAGTCTGTTGGCCCTTCTGGAGCTTTTAGCATTTCACCGACGGCGCAGCAGAGTAAACTACAGTAGAGTGTGGCATGTACAGGCACACCCCGTCCACCCCCCACCCCATAAACTGGAGCACTTCAGGAGCCTTTTAACATGAAGATCAGCTCAACAAAAGCTCTGCACAAAGCTAATGACTCCTCTGCTCAGCGTATTAGCATGTCTATTACCTGCAAGTCTTAAGAAGTCATCAGGTGGTATGAATAAACAATGAGGCCTGATAGAGTCCCATCGGCTGCACACGTGTGGGGTGTTTAAATGAGCCCGAACAAAGAAGATTACAGGCTATGTTAATAGAGGAGAGCCTATGTGATCATGAATATTTACCTTCAGTTTGAGAGAAGAGACAACCCCAGTGTACTCAGAGAGAGATTTAAAGTGAAAGTATATTTTGGTGAGAGGTGAATTTGATATGTCTGTCTCACCTCCGAACTTCCACTCCATGTCCACCAGCTGGTTGACCATCAGAGTCTGTCCCACAGCGAGGCTGCACAGCGCTGCAGAGTGCTCCCCCCACTGCAAAACACACAGAAGTCCTGTGCTCATTAAATGATACCCGAAGGCATTTTATGTGACTAAAAAAGCACAGAAGGCAACATAATTAATGTGACTTGTCCCCTTGCTTAGGTTCAATACCTAGATTTCTATGGGATCATGAGTATTTCTTTAATGTAATGTAATTGCAGGATTCTTGGTTTTCTGAGGCATTAATATGAAAGGCCTTAATTAGTTTCTGACTATTGGAAATATGGGAAAATATGTATTACCAAAACATTGCACTACTTACTTTTCTTAACCATCTCTTTTTTGACACTTAAATAACGATAACATCATGCCAGGCATTCACACTACCCATGTCACAGAAAACCATACTAATAATGATGTGAACAGGGTCTTTATTAAGCAAATTTCCCCAAATATTTGTTTTACTTGACAAAGCAGACAATAAAAGGAATAGACATTTTGAGCAGTGAAGTTAATGAGGGCAAACCAAAAAGCATATTTCTTAATCCAACGCTCATATATCTCTTTGACTAAATTACACACATTTATAGAGTTCTTTGTGAATTTTAAAGTTATGCAAATGTAATATTAGTTCACTTCCATTCACTGTCGATGAAACTGTTTGCAGACCCCCTGAAAACCTCTCATATGTATTATACTGGATCATCATCATTTTAATTATGCTAAACTAAAGTGGACTTTTCCCCAGATGATTCATTTAAGATTTTTCAGAGGGTGCTGGAACACCCCCGAATCTTCATATTTATGTCTTCAAATAGCAGTGAATGTTACCTGTTGTGAAAAGTGAGCCGCCTTGTCCTCGTTTAGCCCTGAGGAATCAAATAAACAGTATCGGTTTCACATATAAAATATTCACAATAATGTATTCGAAACACTGTGGGAATCATCATCACCTTCGTTACATAACATGCTGTCATGAGAAGATACAATCCAGCAGCTTTACTTAACCCAGTTATACATTGACCCTGTGAAGAAAGATTTATGTGTATACCTAATGACACAAAGTCCTCTCTGATCTGCTCGGCTGTCAGGCTTTTCTTCATGGCGCCTGAGGAGAAAACAGAATCACGGAGATGGAAAACTTCCTGAAGCTGCAGCTCTTCTGTCACTTCAGAGTTTAAACTTTATTAGTATCAAGTTGAGAGTCGTGGGACATTTTTAAACGAGTGTATTCATGACTGTATCATCCTAAAAAAGAGATACAATAGGTAGCACTAGGGTTGCATGATACATCACTTAGTTTGAACTGCTAAAAGGAAAGGGAAATGTATACATTATTAAAATACAGGGTGACATTATGTAATAATGTACTGGTTACACTCAAGTTTGTGAGCAAAATAAGTCCAAGCTATGTAAAAGATCAACTTATAAAGTTGTGTGGGATCCTCAGTGAGAGATTTTTTTAAGATGTACTTAATCATTTAAAAATGATTATTAAAAAAACATTATTTAAGAAGACACACCATTTTCAGGATCAACCATAATGCCTAAAAGATTATGCAGCATGTGTTCCCTTGCTGTTGGATAAGAAGATGTTAGGTTATCTTAAGATTTTAAGTCCCCAAGTAGAGAGTGGAATCGACTTTCTGATCCAACTCAGTGCATAAAAAGCAAATAAATGTATTCCACAAAATGTTGCAATATTCGATTCTATTTTTTAATAACTATGTGTTTAAGGACAAAGTCATCTAAATGTATACACCTCACTAATTTTAAATGCTGTTCAACTTTTCAACGCTCTTAAACCTAAGAGGTTTTCTGGTGAATATCACAATGTATTCTGGGTAATGTAGGAAATCACTAACTGGAGTAGATAAGCCCAGCAGAGGGACATCTACAACAGAATTCCCACCATATTATCGCAGAGTAACACCTGTGGATAACTGGATTTATTATGTTTGTCTGGCTGTGCGTGTGCGTGTGTGTGTTTCCCACCCTGTGGTACCAGGAGGACGCTCTTCATCAGGTTTTTCAGAGGACCAGCACTCATCCCATGTTGCCCTGCAAACTCACCGAGCTGCTGCATGAACCTCTCTGTCTACACACACACACACACACACACACACACACACACACACACACACACACACACACACACACACACACCACACACACACACACACACACACACACACACACACACACACACACACACACACACACACACCACACACAACACACACACTACACACACACACACCCACACACACACACACACACACACACACACACACAGACACACACACACACACAACACACGACACACACCACACACACACACACCCACACACTACACACACACCACACACACACACAGCACCCACACACACAATTTAATCACTGTCTATTTATTCATTAATTTTCACAAATTCACAATATTACATTCAAACTCTTTTCTTCTGTTCAGTTATCAAGGGCATAATCAGAGTGCCAAGTCCATTAACATCAAAACTGTGAGAGAGAGAAAGAGAACGTTGGTTTGTGTTTGTGTGTTTGTGTGTGTTTGTGTGTTGTGTTGTGTGTGTTGTGTGTGGTGTGTGTGTGTGTTTTGTTGTTTGTGTGTGTGTGTGTGTGTGGTGTGTGTTTGTGTGTGTGTTGTGTGTGTGTGTTGTGTGTGTGTGTGTGTGTGTGTTGTGTTGTTTGTGTGTTCAAGCTCACCTCTTTAGGCTCTAGCAGGAACTGGAACAGAATTTCAATCAGACGAAGATATTGCTGCATAGAAAGAAACATGAAAATCTTTATCCATTTCTAAAAATAAAACCTCACCATGTTTATATCAAGAAACTCAGAGTTTTATCAACAATTCACAGGATGTTTAGTCTATTACAGACTTTGTATCTATATTTAGAACTTTTAAATGATATGCATCTATTGAAGCTGCTTGTGAATTTTTAAAAATAAACATTTTATAGAAACAACAGCCAACAGCCATGTATTCATTGATATGGTACTTGAATTATTATGCTATTATATTATCATAATATCAATGGCATAAATGGGTCTTGTTGAAACTACAATAACATTTTAAATCTCAGATATTTGAATCCCCTAAAGTTTAGTATCAGTCTCTATTCTTTTCATTAGCTTTAGTGAAAGTTAATGGCTGATTGGGGGGAAATGTCGAAAGGTATGCAAAAGGTCCAATGTTGTTAAGTGCATTTACATATTTACATTGTGCATAATTGGTATTTAAATGTTGGTATTTTTACTTTTATCCAAGTAAGATTTGCATGCAGGAATTGTATGTGCAGTACAATACATCTACACTGTCATATTAGTAATTGTATTAACATATTTCTTCCACCGTTCACAGTCTGCTGTCACATGACGCATGTGAGCTGTCAGCTGGTGTAGATATTCGAGGTGAAATCCCGCAAACCTTTCCAATAAACAATGCAACTCAACTTTAAATCATTAAAATATATTAAATCTATATTCACACATATGCTCGAAACAGACTCAACCCTAAAACATGAGTACAGCTCAGAAATACAGCTCAGTTATCAGCTAACGTTGACTAAACTTGCGCTGTTTGTTGTCTCCGGTTGTAAACATCGAGGTGTATTTACCTGCTCGTTTAGTTTGTTCAGGTTCTGAAAGTCGGTGCTGACAAAGTCCGATAAAACATCTTTAGTGAAGTTTAGCTGCATCTTTTTATCTGAGAAAACCCTCAAAACCGTCAGAGCTGCTGTTTTGGACTCCACTTCCGGGTTCTTCAGTGCGCATGCGTGGAAAGCAGAGTGAAGTATGCAGATCCTTCATCATCAACAAATGAGTGTTATTACTAAAATGAACTGATGAAAATGACTCATTTTGCATTCAAATGTTCCCTGTTTAAATATTATATATGATTAATTAATATGAATGCTGTTAATGTGTGTGTTGCATGTTACTGCTGTAGATGAATGGAGGGGTTGTGATACAATTAGGCCCCTTGCTACAGGCATGCAAAATACCCCATATTTTCTAAATAATAAACACAGACTTTTGATGCTTTTGTTTCTTTTCTAATGTTTTGTGTCTCTTTGACGTATAGTCATATTGCAACTCTTGGTAGTAGCATATTGGTGTGGTTTCATGGGTCTTTTCAATCTTTTTGCATCTCTGTGAATATGTAGCTTTTTTGTGTTATTGTGTCACTTAACGGTTGTTCTTGTCTCTGTTGTCACTTTGTATCACTGTCTAGTCATTCTGTGTCTCTTTATGTTCTATCTGTCTCTCTTTGCAGTTGGATTGCTTGCTCTTGTTGTCCTTTTATGTTTCTTTTTGAGCATTTTTCCTCCCTTCTTTGTTGTTATGAGTCCCCTTAATTAACGTTTTGCAGGTGAAGACCGGGAGGGCCCGGCCACTTCAGGGGCATGGGATCTAGTTGGCCTGTTCAGTACTCAATTTTGTGGAGATGTTTAAGGTTGTTTAAGGTAAAATAATACAATAAAATGTGGCAATTGCAATACTTTGTAATGTACATTGCAAATGTTGTGCCTTTAGCATCATTATTTTATATAGCAAAAGAGAGTAAAGTTAAAGTTTCATTATTATTATTGATATATTTTATTACAGTATTGCATTGCTGCAAAGATGTGATCGCATTGTTATGTCAATAAAAATATATTTATCTACACTTTTTCTTATTTCACCCTTGCTTTGGCAATGTTAACTCTCAACTTTGTGAAACAATGAGTTCCTGTTCTAATGTTTAACCTGCCTGGTTCAGAAAATGGGAGTGGTCATTCACACGTGGGCAGCCAATTTGCTCTCACCCCTCCTGCAGGAAGAGCTGAGCACACGAGCCGACCCACCGCGAGGATCAATCAGTGCAGAGAGGATACACGACACCGCACTGAGGAGGGATGAGAGAGAGAAATAAGAGAGAGAGAAAATAGAGCGGAGAGCAGAGGAGAGAGAGAACGGAGAGCAGAGAGAGAGAGAGCGAGATACGATATAGATAGAGAGAGAGAGAGATAGAGATAGAGAGAGCGAGAGAGAGAGAGAGAGAGAGAGAGAGAGAGAGAGAGAGGATACACGCACACAGCACAGCACGAGAGAGAGACCTATAGGAAGAGAGAGAGATCTGCAGCAGCATGCTTCCACAGTGATCAACTCCTGCAAGAGCTCTAGTCAGACTTTAGCTCAGTACTTCAAGTTGAATGTAGATTTGAGGAACTTTGTAAAGTCATTTTCCACAAATTTGACTCTTCAGACAACAAGACATCTTCGTGTCATTTCCCAGCCGTGGATGAGTGCAAAAAGCGTGGATGGTTATGTAAGTATGTCTCACCGGGGATGGCGTTTTTTGCAGGAATTCACCGAGCGAATAATTAAATTTCACATAGAAAAATGTTAGTGTTTTTATTTGAAATCACATTTGACACTTTCCCGCCGCTCTTTGTGGAGCCTGGCTCATTGTAGGTATATTGTTCTTCCTAATTACATCGTGCACTTGTAAAGTGTATAGCTCGGTAGTTTGGTTGCCCATGTGCACGCTGGATCCGGCTGAATGTAGGAAACATCTCACTAATTGTCACGCAGAGGTTAATACTCGGTTTGTTTCGAGTTTATAAAGCATGTCTTAATACATTTCTCGTATATTCCTGTGCAGACCTGTAGTGCACGCTGTTTCATTTATGGTGCGTCTCATTTACAGATTCAATATTTTTTTATTAACAGCACTAATAACCCTTTTTATTGCATGTTTAAGTCTTTCTGCATTGATTTCACGTTAATTAAGGCACTGAATGGTGAGTTTTGGGCCATTCGTCGTGCTTAATGGATACTTATTGCGCTATTATTAAGATTTTTTTTACAGTAATGATGTTATAAACCCCCTATGTAGTCGCTGCAGGGTTTTCTATGAAGTGAAGGTCTTGTTTTAACGGAATGACTTCTTGGGATTGCACCACAGGATTTGTGCACTTTTTTGTTTCCTGGTGTTTGGACACGCACTGACGGTGTAGGTTTACCGGTCAAACTTCCTCTCAGGATTAGTGCTCTATTGTGACTCGGTGATTCATGAGTAGAGCTTTTTATTGTATGACATGCAGGGTGAAATATCAAATAAAAGTCTCTTTCATGTTGGAGTCACTGCAAAGTGCAGAAAGGAGCCACGCGGTGGAAAGGGGAGGAGTCATTCAGAAGTTATTTACATGAGTAATGTTCGCAGCCAGCAGGAAAACACAGACCCCTCTAAATTTAACACTATAAATATACTTGAAAAATAATACTTCAGAATGACCAAAATATTTCATTCCAACCTCATAATTTTGTTTTTTAGAGAAAACTTTAATGTATTGTTATAGCATGCATTGAGGAGACTTGAAGAATCCATTACGTTTTGTTTACAATGACATTTTTAACCAGAATTGTCCTGACATATCTGTGTACTAGAGTCCAAGGAGAGAGTGTTTAGGTTAGGAATGCAATTTACTTTGGTTTTCATTGTCAGATCTAAATGATATTAACACCCATCACACTTCTTTTGAATCAAAAATCAGATAATTGTTCATTTCTTTCCCGGCAAATGAACAAAAACTAAAATATATTCAATTTATAACGATATAAAACAGAAAAGCCAAAAAATCACTACATTTTAAATGATAACAAGCATTTACCTGCTGCAAAAAAACTTTGACTTGAAGTGTTTATTTAACATTTGTACTGTTTTCTTTGCATGCTTGCTGCAGTTTTATTTATCTTTTTGTTAACCACTTGAGAATGCATGCAGTTCTTTGAAATACAGATTCTAAATGATTATGGATAAGTTCGCTGGATAGCTCTTTGTATATTTTATCTTGTATATCTTACCTAAAAAGAAAGGGTATTTCACAACGAACTGAATGACCCCATTCAGTACTGATGATTCTTGATTGTTTAGTTTATACAAAATCCTGAGGAGATTACTGTGAGTCACACTATACACACAGCAAGACACATTTGCCATCCATCATTCAAACTAAAAATGTCCGATGCCCATACTGGTTATGACAAGAAACTTTGTAGTGTTTTACCACTGAAGTTGCACAGTAAAAAAAAACTCCACTTATGTGCCATCCAGCAGGTTACATTTGTCTGTGGACAGATTGATAATGAATACCTCCAAAAAAATCAAGAAACAAATGACAATTGTTTACTAAAATTATATAATAGTTTTCACTTGAAATGTATGTCATGTTTGGATCAGGCAGAAAGATCAGTGAGTTTAAGAACCAGTTCATAATCGATTTTAATGTGTGACATGTGTTGCTAGCCCAGAGGCTGTGACCTTTCAACCTGTTATTAAGTTGTAGTGGCAAAGAGCAGTGCAATAATCTAGATGTAGTCCCCCACCACATGAGAAAGGGATATTTGCAGTGCCAGTATAACCAAGAGCAACATTTGCAAAAAAGTATCCTTTTAATATATCCTCTTGAAGTGGTGTAGGCCCAATGTGGGCACACTTTTCTTAATGTTAGTAGTTGATGAGAATGATATTCTTACTCTATACTTCAACTGTAAGGGCCTGGCATCAGCTATGTTACTACTCTTGTAGTGATTCATCAATACATATTACACGGGAAAGGAAAAATAAAAGGTATATGTAGCATGTGGTCGCTAGAAGCACATCCTGCTCAACCCTCTCCAGCCAAAATGCCCAAAAAACCTGTGGCTCTTAAACTTGAGTTCACAAAGCAACAGGTGACATAGTTTATTACTTATATACTATACTTTGGAAACAATGCATCCCAATTGATATACTTTCTCTAGTATTTATTACCATATTATACCTCTCCTTAAATTACAAATGTTATAGTACATTTAGTTGTCTTCGTAATGGAGGAGTCAAGTCTGTACAAAAAGATCATTGTTAGCTTGGTAAGAAAATGAATCATTATAATCTATAACTGTTTATGGCTATAATGTTTCAGATAAGATTGCGAGCTTCTGCATTTTCTTTGATTCTTGGAATTTCGCCATTTTAGGGGCAAGGCCATTTGGCCTTTGGTGTATGGCTGTACCCGAATATTCGTTCGTTGGAGTACTATTCGGGTTTCAATTTCGTTATTCGGATATTCATTTTTACTTCTTTTTTTTTTTGGCAGCCGCATTGAATTTATTGAAATCTCCAATATCAACGTAAGAGCTTGTGCCTCTTCGGGGGGTGCTAACACTTAACTATAAACGTTATCGTTTACTTTATATGTAGATATTACTTTTTCTCCGTTAATCTCCATCACGTTGTTTCCATAGCAACAACAACTTCCTGTCATCAGCGCTAACTCTCTTTCAAAATAAAAGCATGTCCATACAAAATAGGAAGCCAAGCCAAATTACACTTAAGACATAAACAACTGCAACAAACACAATGCAATATCCTTTTCGATTTCAAAGAACACAAATTGGGTTGTATACATTAACAAATAGCTATAAAACAACAATACTGTAGAATAACAAAAAGAATGCCGTGAATAAACCGAAATACACGTGCTGAAGCGGTTCACTGCTGATTACTACGCATCCCCCCCCCCTCTCGTGCGGGCCGAATATTCGCTGCTGATTACTACCGAATATCCGGAGCCCGAAAAATGGTATTCGGGACAGCCCTACTTTGGTGTCACAAATTTGTGTAGGGCACAAAGGCCACGTGCCAGGGCACTAAGGCCATTGAGGGAAACATTTTTATTTGGAGCTTACAAATAAATAACTTCACTTTCTGATAACAAAAACACACGAATGACATGGAAAACAAATCACTTTTTTAATATCAATAATGTCAAACATTATGATCATATAGGCCTATGCTTCCTTAGTATTACCGTATATAAAATGAAATACTCTACTTTGAATAATTAGTGTTTGGTATGTTTTCTATCTACTACTTCTCCCATTCACAAATCCGAAATCAAATAAAAAAATCTAAAATTCTATTAATATGTAACAAATATATTCAATTTCAGAGCAGAAGAAACAGCCTTCAAGGGTCAAACTCTGCACATACATCATTCAGCAGTGCACAGTGAAGCTCAAACAATCAACTGTATGAAAAAGCAATACTTTGAAACGCAAAAGTCTCTGTGTGTGTGTACGAGAGTCTCTTTAAAGGAATGCTCCACTCATTAGATAATTAATCAAAACTTCAGTATTTAGTGAAACATTATGTTTAAACCATACCCTGAAGAAATCAGCGATATTCCCCGGTAAATAATGATTTTATAGCTCTTTTTTATCAAAACCTGTATATTCCGTCAGGCCGCTGCCATTTTGCCCATTTTCAGTAGTCACGTGATGGTCGTGACGTCATCCATGCGTTCACTTTGTAAACACACGAAAACATGGCGAAGTTTTGAGCAATATGAAGAGATTGGAAGGGGGAATTCAGCCATACAGGTTCGAGCCTACTTAGTACTACTTAGTAGATACAATGATTTTGATTACTAGATATGTATGCATGTAGTACCACCCTTGCTAGCGATTCCCTCTCTAGTTTAGCATACTCAGCCTCGTTGTCCCTGGCCCTAGAACCACGATTTTATGAGGCCGGAAAAACTGGGGGGAAATACCCACTAGCCGGTACTACGCTATATGGAAAGGCCACCAAAAACTGGCCTGGCCTGGACGATAAAGGACGTTTAAACGGGGCTACCCGCTGCAATGGAAATGCGCCATAACATACCTTATTCTTACTCCGAGCACTACTTCTGGTCCTCCGTCGCTTCACACTTGCAGAGGGCGATTTCTCAACTGGCCGAACTGGTGTCCTGGTCGGTGATGACACCAGAAAGACCGATGGTACTGCATCTCCATTAAGTACTGGTTGTTCAATAAATCCCATGTTATGTTTTATCATACTCTCAGAGTAGTCGTCCGGAAACTTGAAATGTTCGCTGCATACATGCGCCTGTGGATCTTTCGGTTCGGGCCGGCCACATTTCGCTAGCCACTGCCTCCGAACGTACTTCCTACGCTTACCTTTTGGCAACAGATGGAACCGAGCATTCCGTGGATTGTTCCTATCAGAATTGTGGCAATGTTTCGCGATACAATGAGGCATATTTGAAGAGAGTAACTACAGTAAATAACATGAACATCAACGTGTCCTCGAAACCAAACGCATGGTTTACGTCACATCCGGTAAAATGGCGCCGCCCACAGTGTTGATGTTATTTAGGTAATTAATCAGTTTAAAATCACTGATAATGTCATCGGATTAAAAAAAAAAGAAAAAAGACTGGCAGAGACTGGTCTGTTTTATCGGATGATAATTATTTAAAAATGAGTGTCATGAGCATA